CCGGGGAGACTAACACCTTTTGAGGGTCCCATACCTTGCCTGGTGCCTTAAGTGACCAACACTTGGCTTGCTGGCGACTCACCTCACTTTTATTCCTCATTCTCTACCATGCAGAGAAAAATGGACACCTAGTCAGTTACTCTCTTCCAGGAAGACTTTTTTTCCCCCCTTAAAAATGGTCTTCTACTCTTCCCCTCCTCTTCCCAGCTTCCTGGTGGGCAGACCATCTGTCTCACCTTCTGTTCCTCACCACTCTCCTGGTCGTGAGGAGTAAGGCCCAACACACCCTCAGGCAGTTTCAGCAGCGGGAGAAACTAGGACTTTCTAAGAAGCCCAGGTAGGAAAGGTGCAGAGAAACTCCTCTCCTGAGAAGAGTTTGAGAATCATCAGTAGTGACAGGAAACCAAGGAGATTCGGCTGTTTGTTTCTTGTCTTTATTGACAAAAAAAGGTCACAGCATTTCAGACTTTATTCAAATACACAAACAGTAACAAACAATACCCACAAGTGACAGGCATGGTCCCTAACCTCTGCGCCAAAGGCCATGTCGGAGGATGTGGTTGTCCTCTTGGCCACCCCCCAGCATCTCTGTCCCTTCCTCCCCTACACCTCGCTGACACCCCTGAGATCAGTTAAGACTGCAGAAACGAAGTCACTCTAGAGGAGGTTGGGCTGCGCCTCATTGCCAAGGAGGAAGCAGGTTCTGAAGGAAAGACAGAAGCGTGCTAGCGTGGCATCTCCTAGGAGAGGCCAGGCTGCTTTGTGAGCTGGGCCTGAGTCGCCCGCGGCCTCAGGCCTGGGCACAACACGAAAAAGGAAGACACTCCCCACCTGGCAGCACTGGGCTGCTGGAGAGAGTGTGGGTCCCTGGCCACGTGACACCCCCCAAACCGATGGATGGCCAGGCCTCCCTCCGAAGTAATCAGCTGGGCTCTCCCAGAAGGCTTTCAGTAAAAAAAAATACTGACTTGGTTCCTAAAGGGCTGGGGCGAATACTTTTCCAGAAACCTTAAGAACTGAATCATCCTCAGACTCAGGAGCACTGGAACAATTGTCATTGGGCTGCCAGAAGGAGGGGGACCTCGTGAAAGCCAGCCCTCTAGGGGAGCAGAAATGTCACTTGTGTTAATTTCTCAAGAGCATCGAGTGAGGGGCTCAGCAGTTTTTCTACAGGATCCACTGTGGGGCTCTGAAAAGAGAAAAGACTGACTATGCGTTCCTGAGGGGTTTGCCACCTCTGCCCTCCGGCCTGCCTCGCTTTACCCCTTCGTGCAGGCTCGGGAGCACTAGGAGCACAAAGAGCACGAGGAGCACGGGCTGACGCCCAGGCACGCCCCAGGGAAAGCAGATCTGATTGGGCTCAAGGTCCCAAATGAAGCTGCTTTCCCTCCTTAGAGTCAAATGTTACTTTTCTGGCCAAAGAGCAAGTCTTCCAAAGTCCTCTGTCCTACTCAGGTCTGAGCAGCTTTTCCTCCACACGCCCAATCTCGTGCTTTCCGAAAGATGACAGGAGGATGCCTGCGACGTCTCTGAAAGGTGACTGCTTTTGCTGCAGGTAGAAGTTCCTCTAACGTTTATAGCTGTAGAAATCGTGGGCACAGGCCAGAGTCCAAGGGGCCGATGTCAACACGCACGCTCACATTGGTGTGTAGACACACACGGAGCAGCAGACACCCCTGTACACACATTTCTATCCTGCTCTACACACACGGAGAGATAAGGTCAAAGTGAGATCCGGAGAAGAGTTATGCCATCTGCACGCAGGCAGGTCATGAGTTCCTAAGACGTTCGGCACCGTCTGTGAGTCATTTCCAAACACCAGGGCCCCAGACCGCCCTAGTAAGCACTGAGCTGTGGAGCAGAGGGAGCCTCACTGTGAAGGAAACCAGGAGTGACCAACGTGAGTGGCTGTTACAGGTGCAGCGTGCCCCGGAGGCGCCTTCCCCTTCTCTGGGCCATCTGCCACACTGGCAAAAGTCATCGAGGGAAGAACAAGGATTCTCCAGCCCTTTGCGTTCAGTGACTGTTCACTAAGACTCAAAAGCGCAGACAGAAGGTCCAGATACAAGCTCTGTGGTCCCAGCCCGAAGGAGGGCTTTACTCCCCTCCCTGGCCAAACAAGCACTTGATTCTCGAGGACGTGGCGGTCTGCAGATAGAAGTGATGGCAAAGGGTCGGGCTCAGAGACGCGGGGAGTCCTCGGACTGCCCAGCAAACACATATACCCTGCAGGGGCTGGCGTGGCGTCACGGACACGGCTGCGGGGCAGGTTTGCCAAGGTTAGAAACCAGGAGACTCGGACAAATATCGAACGTTCAGTCAAGGCATTTCCAAGAGACAGTCACAGAAATAACGACACTTTTGGATACTACAATAGAACACGTTTGGCAACTTTCAAAGAAATAGCTGTCCCCACCCAAGCCATCAGAGGATCCAAAGTCCCTTTATCTTCGGTCCAGTTCAGAAAGTCAGGTTAGGAAGATGGGTCAATGGAGGGTGTGGCCTGCCTAAGTGCCCCTCTGTGTGGGACGGGTGTGGGATGCCGCCTGCCTCTAACCTCCACCTGAGGAGCAAGCAAGCTACTGGAGGGTCCGGGCTGCCGGAGACAGATGAGGCAAGGACGAACACGGTAGCAGCTGAGCGCCCCGAACCCAGAGCGGCGATCCCCAACCTCCACCCACAACCACGGATACCCCGTCCTCCCCTTCCTCAAAGAGGTTTCGTCCACAGGAATATGGGGTATTCTGCGGATCTATCCTTTACCCGAGACCTCAATTCAGCTCAATTCTAGCTCAATGAAGCTAGAATCCTTGGCACCTGCTGCATTTGTGTGGGGTGCGGGGAAGAGGGGAAAGATAATGTTACAAAGTGGCTGCCAACGTCCAACGTGGCACCCAGGCAAAAACATGGCACGGCCCAGGGACGATCCTCTGGCGTTTGCTCCAGCGTCCCTGAAGCACAGGCCTGTACGAGGAGCTAGGCCTTCCTCTTCCCCTCCCCCGCATCCCCCCCCCCCCCCGTAAAGGCCCCCGCTGGGAGCCCAGCCCAGCTGCTGTGGTAAGGATTTGATCTAACACTGGCTAAGAAGACAAAAGCAGGTTTCTGAAAAGGTATTCTGCAGCCGGAAGTGCGTCTGTCTTCAGGTTCCTGTGGGGGGCAGGCAGGGGTTCCTTTGGTTTTGACCAGAACACTTCTCCATTGGGGGGCCAGGCTCAGCCGTGCCTTGCAGGAGCTCGGTTACTGTACAGGAGCAAGATTTAACTTCACAAGGTGCTCTGCCGGCTTGTTCTCTTGATGGTTAAGAATCTGGAATTTACATCCGAGATCCTCTCTCCTGAAGAATCTGCAAATGGAAGATGGGGGGGAGGGCTGAGGCTTGGGCCGAGGCTGCTAAGCAGACTGCTGAGGGAAAAGGGACCCGCGGCCGCTTTCCACTGGACCCCGCTGGGCAGCACAACAGTCCTGTCACCACAGGAAGCAAGGCAGGGCTGAGCCCTAACCTCCCCTGAAGCACTTCAGTTGTAAAAGCCTCTTGCTGAACACCACTGCACCCACAGTATCCGTGCTGTCAGACCCCTTCTCCCACGCTAAAGGAAATTGCCAACTTAGAAATGTTTATGAGAGACAGAGGGAGTTGGGGGGGGGGGTGGGCACAGTACAGGAAAAAGAGGATAACAGTGTACAATTTTCCAGTAACTTAAGGTGGGGGAAGTCACAAAGGTAACCAAATACCTTTTCTCTTGAGACAGGACAAAAAAGAGAGAGAATGGTTTCAAAGAATAAACACAAAATATTTTCCAATTTTGAGTTTCACAATTCTCACTTTGCAATTAGATTTTTCACTGATTTGACAGGTGGGTACATAAAGTCTACTCTATTTCAGTACCTACTTCCTAACTAAGAACGCTTGGTCACTGCTCCATAAATCCTGATTTAAATGACAACAGTCAACAACCAAAATGAAGGAAAAATGCAAAGCTAGCTTTGGAAGGAAAGAGAAGAAGTCAGGAGCAACAAACAGTCCAGGCCAAGTCCACTGAGGGGCTGGGAACAAACGAGTCAGAGACAAAATTCTGGTGACGCGATTTCTTACCTTTGCCTTTTCACTTGGCTCTATGACAATGCCATTGGTAGAATTATTGAGTTCTCTGGAGACAACACAGAGGAATTCTGCCTGATCCTCATTTCCGTAGTTATAGGAAGATCCAATGCTGATTAGCTGACAAAACCAGAGCATGGTGAACAGTCCTCTTAAAGTGCTAAAGTGCCACACAGACCCAACCCGCCTCCTGTCCGAACTTTGTGGTTTTGCTTCTCACAGGATGATGAACTGTCTGGGACTATCACGGCCCAGGGGATACCTGGATCTGTTATTCACTTGGGCGTCCTCAGCAAGGCTTCCCCAGAGAAGGAAAGGATGGGATCTGCCACTGTCTCCCCACCCAAGCACTTGAAACAATCCCAAAGGCAGCAGCTAGGATGAACATGATCACATTCCTTCTAGCAAACACTGAGGTGAAAGAGAATGTTTCTGTGAATGAAAATGGACACTTGCTTTAGCCAAACACCTACACAGGGCTGGCTCATCTTTAAGCAGAAGTCCCAGACAGGAGACTGGCACTCAAAAGGCTCTGGAAAGCACCGAGTGAATCACTGAAGAGTTACCATAAGCCATATGCTGCTGGGACTTTTAACCTTTTCGGCAAATTGAATTCAGGATTTAATTTTAAACAGGAAATGCACATGCACCGAGAAAAGCGGAGCCCAAGGGTAAGGTCATCCGGGCAATCATGTAGGGCCTCAAGTCAGAAGAACAGGACTGACTTGCTCTATGAATGGGCTTTGGGTCCCTCTGCCTTCCTGTGCCTGAACTTCCTCATCCATATAATAGAGTCAGTGGGAACATGACTTCATGTTTCATGCTTCACCTGCCCCCTGAATGTTAACAAGATGAGAAAAAGAAAATAAAAAATTATTCACTGGTTTCATCAAGAATACTTAAAAAAAAAATTTTTTTTTTTTTATTTGGGAATATTCTTTGCTTAAGACTTAGGGAAGGGCGCCTGGCTGGCTCAGTTGGTAGAGCATGTGACTCCCGATCCTAGGGTTATGAGCTGGAACTCATGTTGGGTGTAGAGATTATTTAAAAAGAAAATATTTGAGAAAAAAAAAAAAGACTTTTCTCAGGGAAAATACTTGTGGAGTGGAAGTATGGCAACATGTTACAGCCCCCACATGAATAAGAACTAGGCTGACCTATAAAGGAAGGGGCGCCTGGGTGGCTCCGTTGGGAGAGCATGGAACTCTTGATCTCAGGGTCTCAGGGTCGTGAGTTTAAGCCTCACATTGGGTGTGGAACTACTTAAAAAAAAAAAAAAAGGGAAAAGAAAAGAACTAGGCCAACATACACAGGCAGAATTGATTCTGCAGTGGAGGGGTGAGGAATTATCCAGTGTTGGCTCTGACGACCAAGACATCTGTGTATTTGATCCATAACCCAATACCGTTAACACGACGAACAGAAGTTATTTGAGAAGGTAAGTTTATGGTGACAGTTCAACTGACGCTTAAACCCTACATTAAAAATAGGCACGATCCACACAATACATATCCCTTCTATATATATCCATTCTATTCATGCCAGGCTCCCTGTTGCGCACACAATAGATGAACTGAACAATCCTGCCATCTAATGGAAGAAAACAGTACAATTCTGCCTGTCTGGTTTTGTTTTGGTAATTCTGCCACCACGCAAAGCTAAAGGAACAGAAATCGCAGCCTGATGGGAAATGGCCAAGCCCCACTTCTCTTCACGTCTGGCTCCTCTCATACCTGCTCTTGCTTTCTGCAGTGGATTATATATGTTCAGAATGACAGAGTTCTTATGCTGGGAAGGAAAGGTAGGGTAGTTGCTGAATCCTAGCCTTCTTTATGTACTTATTCTAGAATGTTTCAACTGAGTGCTTTTGAAAGAAATCCCTCTGAGGGAGAAAAAACCTCAGAGAGACACTTTCAAGCCTAAACAGGCTGGCTGACTCCCTCTGGGCACAATCAAATTAAAACTTGGATATGAAGTCAGGAGACATGATACTATTCTGAATTCTTCCCAACTCATCCTATACAGCTGACAGAATAATTCCCACGTTTCTGAACAGGTTCACACGTGGCCCTACGAACCCCTGGGGTTAGCTGGTTACAGATGGCAGCTGTTTGAGGGACGTGGGCTCCTGGGCTGAGATGCTGCGGTGGCTGCCACTTAGGAAACATACCTGTTCGAATTTCCAACCATCAGACATAGTGGAGACCATCTGTGTAAGCTCCTCTTCCTGGCACTGCAGGACTCTGTACACGTGCTTCACGGGGCCCTGCAACAACCGATGGACTTAGAAGAACAATTTCAAGGACATGACAGTTCGCAGCTGCGCTAGGGAGGCTCGTCCAAAGAATGAACAGCGAAAAGGAATTTGCTTGGACGTTTTTTCTGGACAGCCACACACCGTTCCCTCTTACAAGTGGCACTGTCATCTTTCTCTTCTTAAGGTTTTCTTTTATAAGAATGTTTACTTACTTATTGTGACAGAGAGAGAGCAAGCGCACGTGCATGCAAGCAGGGGAGGGGCCGAGAGGGGGGAGAGAGAATCCCAAGAAGGCCCCCATGCGCGGCGTGGAGCCTGATGTGGGGCTCAACCTCATGACTATGAGTTCATGAGCAATGTCATCCTTCAGTAAAAACTTATCCAAGGAAAGAAAGAAAAGAAAAAGGCCCAAGGATATGAATTAGTGGGTAAAATAATTCTGAAGTTCAGAGAAATGAATTATGTGATTAGATTTCATCTATTTCCCAGAGTAGAAAACAGAGGAAAACTGCTTTGGACAAGAGAGCCCTATTTTCTTTTTAAGTTGTTCATATCATGACATACATGCTGAAAATGTAGACCGTAATTTGGTTTTTCCAGAGCAATACCTTATTAAGGGAATAACATATTAAAAAGGAACCCCACAATATACCAATGTTCAAACTATTTTCACCCTCCGCTGATGGTACCTGGGAGTGTTTCAGTGTTAAATGGTAACATTCCTGTTAGAAAAGTGTGTAACAAAAAATAAATATTTGGTCTTTGCTCCTGGTTCCTAGCACAGAGCTCCTAAAACCCTTGGAATTTCCTGAGTGATAAAAGGGTCTTTTTTGTGCTAATGATGCTAATGACTGGTCTCCAGAAAGACCAAGCACCATTAGAGAGTTAGGACTTTCAGTCCTACCCGCTGACCTCAGTGGAGACTGAATTCAATCACCAGTGGCCAATGGTTTAATTGAATCAGTCATGCCTACATAATGAAACATCCTTAAAAACCCCTGAACAGGGGGGTTCAGGGAGTTTCCGAGTTGGCAAACACATCGATGTCCTGGGCAAGTGGCACATTCCAACTGCACGCACAGAGGCTCCTGTGCTCAGGACCCCATCCCACGTCTCTCTTCGCTTGGCTGTTCCTTAGTCTGCTGGAGATCAACTGTAATAGTAAGTTTAGCATTTTCCTGAGTTTTAGGAGTTGTTCTAGGCAATTACTGAACCCAAAGGGGATGTCACGGGAACCCTTGAATTTGTAGCCGAATTGGACAGAAGTACAGGTAGCCTGGGAACCGGGATTTGGCACTGGCGTCTGAAGGAAGGGCAGTCTCGTGGGACTGAGCCCTGAAACCTGTGGAAATAGTTACTACTTATTAGTGTCAGGATAGGATTAAACTGTTGGGACACCCCAGCTGGTGTCAGAGATTCAGACAGAAGTCATTTGCTAGCTGACTCGACTTTCTAGAACAGAAGCGAAAGGCGGGATGCCCTAAAGTTGCAGCACTAAGGCCCCTATACTCTAACTACCTGAGGACCCCTCACACTTACGACTCGGCCAGAGTCAGGTGACAGCCAGGGCTGCTGCAAGGAGGCATGCTCACCAGATGAAAGTCCCTGTTCGTCAGAGGACAATTAGAGGCCCACAGGGAGACTTGTGTTTAGCAGTCTTGGACCACTCAGTGTTGGGTCCAATAAATAGCTGCACATCCACTGCCTGTCCCGGAGGCCAGGAGGCATTTGTTAGAGCACAAACAGCAACTGAAGCTCAGAACAACGAAGCTCCATCAGGGAGAGAGGGACTGGTTAGAGTCACGTGACCTTAAGAAAATGTGGACCGTTTCCTGAAGAATAATGAAAACCTGGCTTTAGTACTTTTGCAAAAGGATGACTGGGCTTCAGTTATCTGGAAAATCAGTTTTGGAAGAACTCACTACTGGGGAAATACTGGCTCAACAAAAGCAGCTGTGGATCACGGAGCACTAGGAGCCCAGAGCGGCTTTCCCTCTCCTCCCGTCTTCAGTGGGACACTGATGTCAGTGCGGTGTCTCGCCTGAGCGAGGCAGTGCTATTGGGTCGGAGGCAGTGCCAGGCCTCGGGCTGATCTGCCAACCACACCGCGCTTTCTTCCACGCTCTCCCCTTCTGAACCGAATGCAACTATTGTTACACGAGGTACTAAGAAAAACATTCCCTCCACCTAAAATATAGGGCAAATCTCGGGAAGACTTCAACTGGCTCTAACCACACATTTTGGAAACAACCAAGTGTTTCATGTTACAAAACTCAGTGCATCGTGAAAGATCTATGACATCAGCCACAACTGTCAAAGTCCCAGGTATTTAAGATGCATGTGTTAGCTCTTTTTAATTTTTGTCTTCCAAAGAAAACCACGAGTATTCTCAAATGCACTAAGATTAATCACCCAACATAAAATACCAAAGACAGCAAAGTTAGTAGAATTGGTGGCAGCCGCTAAGAGATATGAGGGGTCACCAAAAGAAGGTGGGGTGGGAAACCCACATCTTCGGCTTTGCTTGAATGTCTGCCATGTGTGTCTCCTTTTTTTTTTTAAACGTTTATTTATTTTCAAGACAGGGAGAGACAGCATGAACGGGGGAGGGTCAGAAAGAGAGGGAGACACAGAATCTGAAACAGGCTCCAGGCTCTGAGCTGTCAGCACACAGCCTGACGCGAGGCTCGAACTCGCGGACCGCGAGATCATGACCTGAGCCAAAGTCGGATGCTTAACCGACTGAGCCATCCAGGCACCCCATGTGTGTCTCCTTACAACACAGACAAGTTGGGGTGCCTGGCTGGCTCTGTTGGGAGGAGCGTGCAGCTCTTGATCTTTGGGTCGTGAGTTTGAGCCCCACATTGGGTACAGAGATTACTTAAAGATAGAATCTTAAAAAAAAAAAAAAAAAA